TCGAACTTGCTTTGATCCGCCAGAGTGCTCAGGTCCCCCCCCCCCCCCCCGGAGCACTGCTTTACTGCTTTATATCCGAATTCGTGTTATATCAGGTCGCGTTATATCGGGGTAGAGGGTATTATTTTTTTTTTAATAATGCTTGCTTCTTTTAAAACTGATATATTTTAGGATGAATTTAAAAGTAAAAACTGAGTAAAAATAACTGGATGTCCTTTTACAAGGAACACAATTGGCTGCATTTATTTAAAGCAATGTTCAGTAGCTCAGAGTTCTTGTCTAATTCACATATTAGGTCCAGTCTTGCAGACTTTATTCAATCTTAATAGGAGTATAACCTGAGTAAGGACTTACTTATGACTCAGGACTGGGCATGTTGTTTCCACTCAGCTTTTTTACACCACCATTTAATTACATTACTTCTAATTCAGGATGATCAGGTTAAATTTTTTAAAGAATGAAGTGGTCCAGGTAAAAGAGGGTTTCTCCTGCCCAGCATGTACTTGTATAACTGTCCACATAGGGGAATGGGTCAGCATCCTCACAATGACCTGCTCTGAGGCTGCTGCAAAATCTCTTCAAGTCTCTCTACCACTTAAAGAGGTACCCACCTTCCTCAAGCAAGCCAGACAACAGGCCTCCCACTTAATGTGCAGTGTGGTCAGTTGCATTACTTTTAATCCAGAATGATCAGGTTAAATTTTTTAAACAATGCAATATAGATCACTTGTTGATTAAGGAAAAACATAGGCATCAATCTTTTCATATGGCAGATTTTTTTTTAGTGACTAAGACTTGGTTTTGAAATTATAGGACAGAACTTCCTATCGACTAGGGCTGTCAAGCGATAAAAAAAAAATCACAATTAATCACGCCATTAAAACAATTAATCACGATTAATTGTGCTGTTGAACAATAATAGAATACCATTTATTTAAATATTTGTGGATGTTTTCTACATTTTCAAATATATTGATTTCAATTACAACACAGAATACAAAGTGTACAGTGCTCACTTTCTATTTATTTTTTATTACAAGTATCTGCACTGTAAAAAAAATAGTATTTTTCAATTCACCTAATACAAGTACTGTAGTGCAAACTCTATCATGAAAGTTGAACTTACAAATGTAGAATTATGTACAAAAAAACTGCATTCAAACATAAAACAATGTAAAACTTTAGAGCCTGCAAGTCCACTCAGTCCTACCTCTTGTTAAGCCAATCGCTCAGACAAACAAGTTTGTTTACATTTGCAGGAGATAATACTGCCCGGTTCTTGTTTACAATGTCACTTGACAGTGAGAACAGGCATTTGCATGGCACTGTTGTAGCTGGAATCGCAAGATATCTACATGCCAGATGCACTAAAGATTCATATGTCCCTTCATGCTTCAACCATCATTCCAGAAGACATGCATCCGTGCTGATGATGGGTTCTGCTCGATAATGATCCAAAGCAGAGTGAACCAATGCATGTTCATTTTCATCATCTGAGTCAGATGCCACCAACAGAAGCTTGATTTTCTTTTTTGGTGGTTTGGATTCTGCATCTGAGTGTTGCTCTTTTAAGACTTCTAAAAGCATGCTCCACACATCATCCATCTCAGATTTTGGACAGCACTTCAGATTCTTAAACCTTGGATAGAGTGCTGTAGCTATTTTTAGAAATCTCGCATTGGTATCTTTGCATTTTGTTAAATCTTCTGTGAAAGTGTTCTTAAAACGAACATGTGCTGGGTCATCATCTGAGACTGCTATAACATGAAATATATGGCAGAAAGTGGGTAAAACAGAACCAGAGACATACAGTTCTTCCCCAAGGAGTTCAGTCACAAATTTAATTAACACATTTTTTTAACAAGCGTCATCAGCATGGAAGAATGTCCTCTGGAATGGTGACCGAAGCATCAAGGGACATATGAATGTTTAGCATATCTGGCATGTAAATACCTTGCAACGCCAGCTACAAAAGTGCCATGCAAATGCCTGTCCTCACTTTCAGATGACATTGTAAATAAGAAGCAGGCAGCAGTATCTCCTGTAAATGTAAACAAACTTATTTGTCTTAGTGATTGACTGAACAAGAAGTAGGAGTGAGTGGACTTGTAGGCTTAAGTTTTACATTGTTTTGTTTTTGAGTGCAGTTATGTAACCAAAAAAAAATGACATTTGTAAGTTACACTTTCATGATGAAAAGATTGCACTACAGTGCTTGTATGAGGTGAACTGAAAAATACCATTTCTTTTCATCATTTTTACAATGCAAATATTTGTAATAAAAATAACAATATAAAGTGAGCACTGTACACTTTGTATTCTGTGTTGTAATAGAAATCAATATATTTGAAAATGTAGAAAACCCCCCAAAAATATATAATAAATTTCAATAGGTATTCTATTGTTTAACGGTGCAATTAATCATGATTAATTGTTTTGAGTTAATCACGTGAGTTAACTGCGATTAATTGACAGCCCTACTATTGGCATACATTTTTTTCTCCATATTTACAGCAGTATGTTGTATCTGAAAATGTTAAACCCCCTTGTAACGGGATTTAGGAGTTCCCAGCCTTCTATATTGCCATCAATATTTTATGATTTCCAGTGTACTTGGTAGGATGAATAAGGAGCTGCTGGTGTGTTGAGGTGGTTAATGAGGCATAAACTTTACCTTTATCTTTATAATGATATATTAAACAATGTAAGGTCTAACTTTTTAATATATATCCAGAAATTCATTTTTAATAAGTGTTCCTGCATACATTATTATGGGATAGAGCAGATTGCAGCTATAAATGTGAAAAACTTTCTTCATATGTTTACAGATAGACTACATTTAATGGATGCAGATGAAAGGGACAGCCCAAGCTTAAAATAAGAC